TCTAATTTTTTTTTTTTGTATGTATATAGAAATACCCAACAGTGCTACAAAGTGTTGTTCGGCCTGTTTCAATCGGATATCACGACGTTTGGCCCCGCATTTGGCAGGTGGTACGGAAATCTCCGAAGACGGGACCGATTCTTTGGCAAGACAATGGACGGATGAGGAATTGGATCAATTGAAGAGAGCTTTACGCGAACACGGTACTAATTGGCCAAAGGTGGCCGAACTAATCCCTGGAAAGACGAATCACCAATGCAAAAATTATTATTTTGCGTATCGAAAAAAGTTGAGCTTGGATCAGGTTGTAGCCGAATATTATCAATCATTGGGCGAAGAACGAAGACCATGTTTGACCGATGAGGAAGAAAGTGGTAGCAGTACGAGTAGTTGCGATGAATTAGCCGTAAATATTTATATATATATATATATATACACACACATATATATATCAAATATATCCAAATTTTTTTTTTTTATAAATGTAATCGATGATATGAGATGGTATGATAAGAAAATAAAAAAGAAAAGAATAAGATGACAAAGATATATGAAATACTTTGTCTTTCCTTTTTCAATATTTCTTTTTTAGGTGCATGATTCAAGTGACACGGCAAGTGCTGGTAGTCCGGCTAATAATATATCAGGCAATACAACCGCACAAACAACATCATCGGCATCAACCTCATTACCGATAGCCTTTACAAGAACAACGGATCCAAAAATTAGTGACAAACTCGCAGACATAGCGGTTGTTTCTTTGGTACCACCAGTTAGCATTGGATCATCTCAACAACAATCCTCGGTCAGTGGTGGTGGTGGTAATGGTACTATCGTATCGGCGGGCAATAGAGAAGATTACGATAGTTCTGCCACGGTAAGATGACGCTGAAGTATTAGAAAAATTTTTCAAAAAAAAAAAAAATAGTATGAATTAATGAATGATTAATATGTGCTTTAATCGTTTTTTTTAATATACAATTATAAAATAAGCTTTGCGATAGTTTCCATGAAACGTTTATCTCATTGATATAGTATTTCTTATCGGTTGATATTATCCTTAGCTATTTGATTTTGCTAATATACAGGGTTGATCCAAAAGTTCCTGTAATTAAATGAAGACTTCCAATTTTACAATTTTTGAATCAAAAAAAAAAAAAAAAAAAAAAAGAAAAAAATTTGGCCAAAAAGATAGTAGTCTCGAAATGGAATAATTAATTTTTAATATTATTTAGAAACTTTTGGTCCATTCCGTGTATATATATATATATATATATCTTGGATGCGAAATTATCTTTTATCATGATAGGGCCGTCTGATAGAGGTTCGGTGATTGTTCCAGGAGACGGCGGACGAAGGTCAGGGAGGTGCTGATTTGGACAATAACAGTGTTGTAGTGACACTTACTACTGCCAGCAATGCCAATTCTTCATTGCAAGAACATCCGCAGGCACCACCCGTCGTCCATTCGCCACCTTCAACTACGAGTAACAATCCATTAACTGTGAAAGATCTCATGTTAGGCGTCATTGAGATGCAATTAAAACGAAATCCCAATAGTCCAGCCGGTACTGGTGGTTTATCCGTACCCGTTAATTCCGGTACACCAACGATATCGAGCATATTAAAAACGGATCATCGGAATGACATTACCTTTGTACGCGAATACAAGCCATCGTCGAGTATCGCAAGTACTGCCATGTCGAACAGAGACTCTAATTTAGCGACACTTTCCGTTGTTTCGAGTCATCACAGTCATCGTTCAGCACCCAGTCCTCAACAAATCAGTAAGTTCAATCTAATAAACTGTATATTATTATATAATATTTGAGATAACATTTAAATTAAATTATTCATATATCTTTTTTTATAGGTCAAATGCAAGCAACTATTACTCCTTGTCCTCCAACGACGCTTAGTAATCAAAGTTCATCGTCAGATATGTTACCTAAGGAAGGCCTAGTCGTGATGCAGGTACAACAGGCATTACGTGAGACCGAGGGTACCCTAGATTTGAGTATTAAAAAGCCAAGACAACAGCAAGAATATAATCACTCGATGCAATCTATTCATAAACCATCGACGGTAACTCTTTATCGTTCTGAACCACCACCGGGTGCTTATTATCATCCTCATGCTCATCCCGAACAAGGACGCGGAGCTAAGAGCCCATTGATTTATGCTTCGTCGCCAAGACCTCAAGCTCCATTAACACCGAAGATGAATAAAGTATCTGTACCGCCGCCTCATCCGAAATTGTCACCAAAGTTAAGTAGCATCGGTACGGCCACTCACAAAGGTGGATCCATAACTCACGGTACACCAGTTTCGAGTGCTCGTTACGAAGGTTTGCTCAGACAAATGACACCACCTGGTAATCCAAGTAGCGGCGTCGGTACTACGAGCGGACCTACCGTTGGTAGTTCGGTAAATACATCAGGAAATCAAGGTCCGAAAGAACCTGGCTCAATAACCCAGGGTACACCTGTTCATCCATTCACTGTAGAAAAACGTCCGCCTATGTATGACTATCGTACAATTCGACACTCACCCGTAACGACTGGTAACGTTCCTGGACAAGGTCAAGGCCAATCGGTTACAGCCGCTGTAGTGGTCACTCATAGCAATCAATATAATTCGTATTCGAATCGACCACCGCCTAGCTACACGATGGAACAACAATTGTCCTCGAGACAGATTATAATGAACGATTATATAACTAGCCAACAAATGCACGCTCGTAGCCGTGGCAGCGGTAGTACCTCGGAAACCGCTCCTAAAAATGAAGCACCCTCGACCCTTTATTATACCGGTACTCCACCACCTCAAACGCACACACAACCTCGCCAAGGAGTTATACAAAGGCATAATCCGCAAAAGCAAATGCATTATCCACCTCCGCCACCAGGATTAGAGGCCTTCTCCAGTCTGGTAGATGTCGCAGTGCAACAACCGAGTCTTCCAGTTCCTCATCCCCACAGTCACCCTGCCTCAAGTAGTGGTGGCCACGAAGGATTAGGAAAAACGATGGCGGATAGATTGCTAGCCGACCGTTACGTCGATAACAATAGAGCGTTCCGCGAGCAAGAGATACGTTTACAAGAACACCGTTTGGCTATGCAACAGCAACAGGCTGAACATAGAATGGCCGTTGCACATCATCATCAGCGTGACAGGGAAAGGGAACGTGATTTGGTACATTTGCGCGAAAAGGAAGAGCATAGGTTGCAAAGGGAAAAGGAGTATCAACAATTGGAACATCGTTTGGCTGTTCAGCAACATCATCAACGTGAGAAAGAGATTCAACAGCAGGAACACCGTTTGGCACAGCAACGAGAGAAGGACATACAGCACGTCGATCATAGACTTTCGGCACAACAAAGGGAGAAAGAGATACAACATGCAGAGCATCGTATAACGGTTCATCAGCAAAGAGAGAAGGAGATTCATCAGCAGATGGCAGCGGCTGCGGCTCAACGAGAGAAAGAGCACCAGGAACATCGTCTTAATGTGCAGCAACGAGAAAAGGAGATACAACAACAGCAAGAGCAAAGGCTCGCGATGCAGCAACAACGAGAGAAGGAAATTCAACAGCAACAGCAGCAACATGCGGAACATCGTTTAGCTATGCAACAACAAAGAGAACGAGATTTGGCTCATTTGCATCAGCAACAGCAACAGCAGCAACATATTCAACAGCACATTCAACAACAGCACCGCATGGAAGCCGAGAGACGGCATATGGCGCAATTGTATCGAGACCAACAGCAACAGCAACAACAGCAATTGGACAGAGAATCCTCGAGATTACTAAGCAGTGGATTTTCTCAATCTTCGAGACTTCAACAACCACAGCAACCACAGGCCCAACAACAGTCGCAATCGTCGTCTCGTCAAAATCAATCCTCGAGTCAGCAGCAAAATGAAACTTCATCGACTTTGACAGCAGCTAGCTTGATAGATGCCATTATAACACATCAGATTAATCAAAGCGTAGAAAACGCTGGAGGTAGTGCAGCATCGAATAATCAACCTACGCGACCAGGCGATCGACTGTTCCAAGTAAGATAATAATAAAGATATAAAATAATGATATATGCAGAATTAACTCTTTATTATCCCTTACGGTATTACGTCGGGGATAATTTTCGTTAAATATCTACAACTAGAGAAACAAATATTTTCTAGGAATTCCATTTGGACACACCGGCAGAACCTAATGGTATGGTACACAGTCCAGCCGGAGAAGGAAGAGGTAACAGTGGAGCAGGTGGTGGGAGTGGCAATGGTAGTGGAAACAAGGCTATTACTCTAGGGGAACACGTCGATCACATTGTAACTAAGGATTATGGGCCTCCCCATTCGTCGTATAGATCTTATACCGGGTAAGAATCTTCTTTCGAAGAAAATTCCTCGAGTATAATCGGAAAAAAAACAAATAAATTTGTAAGCAAACATAAAAAAAAAATAATAATAATAATAAAATAAACAAAAAAAAACTAGTAGAGTCTCTGTACGGTTTCCCTCGTACGATAGATATCAGATTTCGGAGGAACAATGGAAAAGGCGGAAAGGAAACGAAGCGGACTCTGTGAAGGCCAGTGACGACCGACAGATAATCCGAGTTGCTCAACAACAGTCGCAGCAGCAACAGCAACAGCAACAACAGCAACAACAACAACAACAACAACAACAACAGCAGCAGCAGCAGCAGCAGCAGCATCAGCAATCCTCATCCTCGGTTGGGAAACAACAGTTCCATTCCGTCGAACCGGTATCTCCTCCAGAAGCTAACACTAATCATTACGGGCGTCGCTTCTACGAAACGAGCACTGCCACCTCGACTTCCGGGACACCCTCTAACAAGCCACATCTATCACCACTGGATTATGTTAAGAATAAAATCGTGGAGGTTATGCGTACGTCCGAAGATGATAAAGCTGGATCGGCAGGAGGAGGAGGAGGAGGAGGAGAAAGAGAAAGAAACGGAGGAGGAAGTG